AGTGTTTTGAGGCTGTAGAAAAATCCATTAGAATCCAATAGAAAAGTTTTTTTTACACTTTCTGTTGCAAAAATCCATTAGAATCCAATAGAAAAGGTTTTTTTTACACTTTCTGTTGCAGCTAAGTCCATAGTGAAAATCAAAATCTGAACAGAGAACTCCAAGAATTATTGTATAATGCTTGTATAATATCGTCTTATTTTGAACACAGAATATTGTGCCTTTTCTATATGGACCGTGGTTTGGAGTGAGTATTTACCAAACAACAAAAAACAAAAAACAAAAAACAAAAAACAAACAAGAAAAAGCAAGTCAACAAATTCTTAAGATTGTCAAGTCACAAGGTGACATAGATTTTTCAAAATTATTTGTTTAAAAACATTTGGCTTTTATGATATGATATACCATACAATGTAAACCCATATAATATGATGCGATACGATACGATGCTGTAAAGAATTATATGATACAATACTTGAACTGAAAGTCAAAGTTTTTTCAATAATAATAATAATAATAATAATAATAATACATTTTATTTCATAGGTGCCTTTCTGTTTTAGTCTTCACTATTACAAAAACACTGACACGTCTATTATGATGTGATCCATTATCATTTAATTTGTCATAAAAGTGAATAAAGAAAATTGTCACAACTAATGCAAAATACAGAAATCAAAACATCTCACAGATGTAGCTTCACTGACTCAGCTGTTCCAGGGTCAGGGTGACCTTCTGATCTCTGGTCAGGTCAATGTACACACTACATTTTAGGCAAAGTGTGTGTGTGTTTGTGTGTGTGTACAAAAAGAGGAAGTAATGTGTGTATATAAACTACCACAGAATGAAGGTCCATCATCTGATCTGATCTTCTGAGATCTCTCACACAAACTTCTCTCCATCTCCTGAACGGTGAGATACAGTTTTTTAAATTCATATTTGTATTAAATTATTATGATCTGCAAAAGAATTTCTTTGGGAACCTAAGAAATTGTTTAGATTTTGTTTGTAGTGGAATGTCAGGTTTTATATTGTTAATGACAAATTTAATTTTAACCTGAAAAAAAGAGAAAAAAACTAGTGTTTCTCATTAAGACTGTTCAGATAAATATCATATATTAATTTATAGTATGAATGTTTTTATTGATTATATTTTTGTAGCTGTTTTTCAGTGAAACATCATGTCCAGGAACGAGAACAAAAACCAGGGTCGCTTCCAGGTATCACTGACAAAAAATGTTTCACTTTTTTAAGCCTAAAATTATTTATTTTTCTCTCATTTTTTTTGTAGAGACAGTGAGATCCAGTTCATCATGTGTTGTTATTATTGTTTCTTCTTCTTCTTCTTCCTCCTTCTCTCTGTGACCTTCAGGAGCCCAACTCCAACCTCGGTGCTGAAGAAGATGATTTTCTTGAATTTGAACCTTTTCCAGATGTTGAAGTTGAGGCAGGGCCCAGGACTCTGCCCTCTGGTGGTACTGTCATTTTCTTCTTTTTAAACTCTAAACTCTTTTCAAGTTGTCCAAAAGCATTCTGGGTTTTTTTTTTTTTTTTGAAGAACTGTCTCTTCATCCTCCCTGGTCACAGCTTTACAGGTGGAACATGTTGACATGAACTGGAAGACAAACGCTCAAGTCCACCACACCTACATGTACAACACCAATCTCCTGGTGGTTCGCCGTGGAACTGAGTTCCTTGTCACTGTCACCTTCAACCAACCTCTGACCCAGCAGGACACCTTCAAGTTGGAGTTCCTGATTGGTGAGCTCCAAACCAAACCTTTTCTTACTGATTCTGCCCTAAACCTGCTGTTTCTATATTTTTGGTGACGTCGCCCCCACATGGTTGGTCTCGGAATAGCAAGCCCAACAGGACAGTCGAGGTTATTAAACTGCTCTCCTCCTTCAGGCTCCGATCCTGCCGCCCATAAATGCTCCAGAGTCAGTGTGGAGTTCGGGCCAAATGCGCACCAGTCGACCGCTAACTGCTGGCTGGGCAACATCATCGAATCTCAGGGTAACTCTGTGACTCTGGGCATCACCCCGACGCCCACAGCCATTGTGGGCAAGTTTCGTACATATGTAGCCATCAGGGATCAGAACGGTTGGCAGATCACCAAAAGAAACAGCAGCACTGACCTGTATCTGCTCTTCAACCCCTGGAGTCCAGGTTTGAACCTACCCACTCGTTTTACTCCCAAAAACTGATTTCTGATCAGAGAAAAACAATAAGATCAGAAAAAGACTTGAGCAGAAATCCAGTGACGCTGTGTGCTCTTTACAGAGGACAGCGTGTTTTTGAATAACGACAGCGCTCGCTTTGAATACGTCCTGAACGACACAGGAGTGATATACCAAGGCACCGTGGACGCAGTCTCCCAGCGCTACTGGTCATATGGACAGGTACGTATAAATACCAACACTTAATGCTATTTATTCAATACATATTTTACATGTTACGCAAGTCTTGCCAAAGTTTGCAACCCATTAAGGTATCATTGTTATTTTGTAGCTGAACTACTTCCTGTCACTTGTTTTTTTTCTTCTGTTTTTTCCAGTTTGAGCAGGGCGTCCTGGACGCCTGCATTTACATCCTGGACGCGTGTCACATGCCAATCAGTGAACGAGGCAATGTTGTCAAAGTGATCAGACAGGGCTCCAGCATTGTGAGTGAGGAAAAGCTACTGAAAATGTCTTAGTGCAATCACTCTGCTCCTCACGCTGCTGCTCACTCTGCTCCTCACTCTGCTCCTCACTCTGCTCCTCACTCTGCTCCTCACTCAGATAAATGCTCAAGACGACAACGGAGTGTTGGTGGGCAACTGGAGTGACAACTACACCGGGGGAACGGCGCCCACGTCTTGGACTGGCAGCGCCAACATTCTGCTGAAGTATGTCCAAACCGGCATGTCTGTCTGCTACGCCCAGTGCTGGGTGTTCGCCGGAGTCTTCAACACCTGTAAGAGACACAGAGACACAGAGACACAGAGACACAGAGACACAGAGACACAGAGACACAGAGACACAGACCTGATTAATTATCATAGAAATAGACCAACAAATGAGCAGAATGGCATCTGTACAGAAAACTAACCCTGACCAGGACAGACAAAACATCACCAAGATGTCTTAACTGCTGATCTTATGCTGCCTCGTGTGGCCATTTTGTTTTATTGAGGTAAATTAAAAAGTTACCAGGTTTGGACTTAATGACGGAGGAAGCAGTGGGTCGAATGATCTTCGATGTTGCCTTGTTGAATGGTTTGTTGTCTGTATGAACTAATTCATCATTGGTTTTTATTCGTGTATGTGTTGCGTTCATACCTTTGTAACTGACAATCACTGGCATTTTTTTTCAGTCCTGCGCAGCCTGGGGATCCCAGCCAGAGTCATCACCAACTTCTCCTCAGCTCACGACAACACCGGCAACCTGAAGATCGACCTCATCTTTAAGATGGATGGGACGCCGGACCGTCGCAACACCAGGGACTCCATCTGGTTGGTGTCTCCCACCGTGGCTTTCTCTTCTCGATCTCTGGTTTATGACTAGATTAATGATTTTGACCCCTGCCATTAAGGAACTATCACTGCTGGAACGAGGTGTACATGGTGCGACATGACCTGCCCGCCAAGTACGGAGGATGGCAGGTTGTGGACGCCACACCTCAGGAGACCAGCGATGGTAGGAATGACCCACTGATGGACAGGTGAGCGTCCTAACAGAGTTGGTCAGGTGATGAAACCGCTCTCTGTGATTTGTTGTCAGGATATTACCGCTGTGGTCCCGCCTCCGTCAATGCCATTAAGGAGGGAGAAGTTTGTTACCCCTTTGACAGCGGCTTCTGCTTTGCTGAGGTTAGTTGTTTGGTTATTATCACTGAATAGTGTCAGATCATGTCATATTTTAGCACATAGAGGGCACTATCGTCAGCATATAAAGAGACACAATATTCCACGTCTTACTTTCCCACACCCTGTCTGTCTGTTGATATGTCAAGACAGGTGATTTTCTAAATTATTCTGTGGATAAAAAAAAATAGAAGAGAGTGTTTGCAGATTCATAATAATCTAAATTTAATAAGATTAGAATCGGAGTGAGTGGTTGTTGTTTGGAGCATTTCGGCTTCTTTCCAGGTCAACAGCGATGTTGTCTGCATGAAGCGTGATCGCTATGGCAACCTGTCTCCGTACTATGTGGATAAGACTATGGTGGGACAGGCTGTGTACACCAAATCTATAACAGGCAACGAACCCGAGGACATCACAGGAAACTACAAGGACCCTGAAGGTAACGTTGATTTATTTTTTTAGTTCACTTCACATATTTTTTTTTATCATATTGATGTTCTGAGTACAATGTTATAGCTAAAAGTTGATACATTCTGCCTCCGCAGGTAGCCAGAAGAACGCTGATGCTGTGGCTCGGGCAGAGAGTTATGGGATGTCAGGCGATCACTCAGAGCTGGAGACTGGGATGGTGACTGTTGTCATCACTGTAGAGCAGGTACTTTGTACACCTCATGTTTTTAATCGCATAATTTGGTGTATTTTTAGAAATGGTTCCTTCAGCCGATAAACTTCACACCACTCTCAGTCTATGGTGTCTCAAGAATCTGTTTTTACAAACCAAACTTTTCCAACAGAAATCTAACTTTAGTTATTGATTCCTTCCTCATCACCAACTGTCACTCCTCTCCTCCAGAACTACTTGGGTGGTGATGTCATCCTGTCCGTGGATTTCCACAACAGTTCCAACAGTCCCGCATCCGTCAATGCAGTCCTGACAGGCTGGATCATCAACTACACTGGATACCCCGGTCCTGAGTGCAAACATGAGAGCTTCGCTGTCACAGTGGAAGGACAAAATAGTAAAGAGTTTGTTGGTTAACAATGATTGATCTGATTTTCATAACCGACTAATTCCTTTCTCATTCTTTGCTATATGTATTGGCTAACATAAAATAATGTTATTGCCCCTTCTGTCCTCTTTTGTTGCTGTAACTTTTTTGTGATTTCTGGTTGTGTGTTCCACTTTGACAGAAAAGCGTGAGGTGTTGAAGACCATGGCTTCTGAATACATGCACCTAATGTCCTACCAGCCCTGCCTCTACTTCACTGTGACTGGAACCGCTGGCGACCAATCACTGACGGCTGTCAAGGTGGTTCATCTGCAGACCCCGACCCTCACCATAACGGTAAGAAAATCTGTCAGACTTCATCATTTTCTGATAAAATATCTATTTTATTTATATGTTGAATTTCTTTTTTTAATCGTTTTACTTCTTTTTTTTCTTTTGGACAATGTCTTCCTCTTTCTATACCTTGGCCTTTTGATAATAATTCCTTCCTCCATGATTGGTCCAGGTGTACGGTGTCCCTCAGGTCAACCAAAACATGTTCGCTACTGTTACATTCACCAATCCCTTCCAGTTTGACTTGGAGGATGTCACCATAGCCATGGAAGGAGCTGGAGTCATGGAGAGCAAGACACACTCTTACAAGTAACACTGTCCCCCACCCCCCATACACATACACACACAAACACCCGAGGCTGTGGAAATATTGTCAGAGTTTTACTGCGACTCCGTTTCTCTTTTAGAGTCATTTCTACCAAGTCTTCAGTCACCTGGTCTGAGGCCTTCACTCCCCGTCTAAGTGGATTACGATGCATCCATGGAGTGTTGGACAGCAAGAAGCTGAGTGAGGTAAGTCCTTCTCAAGAGTCAGAACTTGATTGGTTGATACAAATGTTGATGTGATTTGAAATCCTTACATAAATTGATGTCCGTGAGTTTAAATACCACATTTATTATACTGACTTTTATCATGAAAAGGTGAGTGACATCATGACAGACGTGCTTGAGACAGTGGTTTATTAGACGCTCATATATTTAACTTTTATTACTTATTACTTGTGTTAAATAACGAGTGACATCATGACAGACGTGCTTGAGCCAGCGGTTTATTAGACGCAGGCTAATATATTTAACTTTTATTACTTATTATTTATGTTAAATAACAGAAGTCTGGTGTGAAGTTTTCGATGATTCCTTCATGTGTTTATTTTTCTTCTTCTAGGTGTATGGATATGTTGCATTCACTGTCTACCCCTGAGATCATCAACAGTGATGTGATACTTTCCTCCTTCCCACCAATCAAAGCGCAACAGAGACAAGCCAATCAACTATATAAAGAATCAATGTAATAATTACTTGTGTTTGTCAATTTATGTGTCACCTATAACATATTCAAAATTAATTTCAGTTTTCTTTCAATACCATCGTGGACTATCATGTGTATGACTCTTTTAAAAAAATAATTAGACAGCATTTATTTGACATTGCACTTGCTGTATTTTTCCAGATTGGAATCTTAATGCTAATCATGATCAGTAAATGCAACATTTACTGCAAAAGGGTCATTTGTAATTTAAGACGAGAAAAAGACACAAAGTATGTGAAAATATAGTTTATCGTTTTTATTCTTTTGATCAAGTGATTGTGACTTTAATTTTACTGTTCGTTGCACGGATGATACCTGCTGTTGATTTGAAACTGTCTACTTACAATAAAGCATATTCAAAGGCACTGCATGAGTCAATACATTTATTTATTCACTTTATCTGCTATGATTCCGAAACACAATGACAATATATATTTTGTCGAAGGGTCTTATAATTAAATTAAATTAATACATTAAATTAATACATTAAATTAATAAATTAAAGTTTAAATCAGTTTAAATTAAAAAAATAATAATTGTCACTTCAAAGGAAGTTAGTTATTTTGTTGTGAACGCCACCGTGACGTACTTCCTGCTCCATATTCACTGTTCTTGGAGAAACGCCTCTGGAGAGCTTGCGCCACCTTGACTAGCATTAAAAGTATTTATTAAAAACTATAATTTATTACCTTCTTATTGTTATTTTGTATTGAAAGACAGTGAACAACAGTTTAGGTTCCGTGTCACGTCACCAAACGTCGTTCTTAATCTCATTTTTAACGAAAACGTCCGTAGGGCCTGCTAAAGTTAGCTCAGCTGCTAGCCACCATTCAGTCACTCTCTTCGACGGAGGAATAATTTTATTGTCTAACGCAACCATGGATCAAACTGGAGTCTCGGCAGAAGTCCCAAAGGTAAAATTAAAACTAAATCTAAAATTAAAGCCTTTTTTGGTTTCGTTGTACTGTTACGTTTGCCCATATTTTAGCTTCTAATAACAAAGATGGCGGCCAGTCAGTGAAGGCTGAGTCTATTTATGTCGCTTATGTAGTACATTTAGACTCTTAAATGTGATGATTTTTGCTTGACCTCGACCTAGATATCGAAAGTTGAAGGTTATATGTATCTAATTTAAGTTTTTTGTAATTGTAAACCGACTGTTGAAAAGACAATATTTTTTTACTTGAATTTAATATTTAACAGTTACGGGTCAACTCACATTTAGATTCAAAGTGAGAAGGGGCCAACAGGTGGCGGAAATGTGATTGTTGCAATGCCCATACTCACATTTATACTTAAATATTTCGAAAAATAATTGTATTGGTCTCCACAAATATGGTGATATATAGATGACGTCAGAACTAGGTGGGAGGGGCTGATATTAGACATGTCTGAACAAGTCTTCCTATTTTACCAGCCATTGTCACAATTATATGTCAAATAAATTTTACAAAAAACAGTGTTTACATCAATGATACATTTTCATCTGTTTAGCCACCCACATTCTTACTACCTAATTTTTTAATTGTACTGTTTGTTTGGGTTGTTGGTGACAGAGCCCATGGGGGTCAGTGAAGACTGGAACCCCCTCCTGCTCTCTGGCTGATGTGATGAGTGAACAGTTGGCCAAACAACTGGATGATGAGAACACACTGTTTCCTGAGCGAAAAGAGTAAGTTTTTACTTTGTGCCTTTGTGCCAAGAATAATCTCCATTCCCAAATTTTCACAGTCTTTGATATTTTTACTGCTTGTACATCCATTGCACTTTGATACAATTGCCTCTGAGTGTAAATGTAGATGAAAAATAAACTTGCTTTTCCTTCACCGCTAGAGGGCAGACTCTGCTGCTTAATTCTAAGAGTGTATATAAACCATAAAATAATAAACTTTGGCTTCAGCTGCATGGTAAAATACTTTGTATCACATTTATAATAATATTATATATATATTATATATACTGATTGATTTTCCCCTTGGCATTTTTTTTCCTCTTGTCTTCTTAGTCCGGTGCCTGACCTGCTTTTGTCAGAGGACACTTGTGACACGACCAGTGACTTGGTGCTGGCTCAGATGTTACAGATGCAGTTTGATAGGGAGTACGACGACCAGCTACGCCGCGAGGAGAAGAAGTTTAACGGCGACAGTAAAGGTAGCGGTAACTCGCTCTGACACTAGATGTGTTTTTTCATGACCATTTCTTTGACCATTTAAATGCTTTGTCTTTCAGTGTCCATCTCCTTTGAAAACTACCGAAAGGTCCATCCTTATGAAGACAGTGACAGTTCAGAGGATGAGGTGGACTGGCAGGACACCAGACACGACCCTTACAAAGCTGGTAATTGGAAATTAAACCTCGTCTGTATTATAACCTCTCACCCGTTGTTGAAATCGTCTGTATTTTCATTTGTGTTTATTTTTATTGTTTGTTTGTTGTTTCTTTTGTAGATAAGCCTCAGACGACTCCCCGCAGAGGCTTTGTTGGAAAAGGCAAGAATATCACCACCAAACATGACGAGGTGATCTGCGGTCGCAAGAACACAGCCCGCATGGATAATGTAAGATGATGTGCTCGGTAGATACTCTCTGTGTGCACTACCAGTCATTTCAGTTAATTTCTTTTCATATTTTTTTGCTTCTTTTCCTCAGTTTGCTCCTGAGATCCATGTCGGAGACGGTCTGGGGATGGACCTGAAGTTACCCAATCAGGTGTTCAACTCTCTGAAGCAGCACTGCTACAGCGAGCAGAGGCGCAGCGCCAGGCTGCACGAGAAGAAGGAGCATTCCACTGCTGTAAGTATGACGTCACCCACCAAAGGGTTGTCATTCATTTACCAAGGTCAACATAGAAATCTGTTATTTAAAGACCTTGACCCAGAGTACCTGCTGATCTACCGTCTGTCTGTTCACTTATTGTGGTTTTATGACTTTGGAGTTTGACCCTTGTTCTATGAGGTCAGCTTTTAACATCTGACATTCCCTTGGAGAAGACTAAAAGTAAATAAGATGTGAAAGTATGTAGAACTTGTTGACACTGTTAGTGTGAAGTGGTTCTGAAAGGCCCGGTGTAAAATTACAGGATAACGACATTGGTTTATTTTGTACAAAGTGATTACTTCCTGTTTTTCCTGATCTGTTTTTTTTTTCAGGAACAAGCGGTGGATCCCCGCACTCGTCTCCTCATGTTTAAGATGGTGAATTCTGGTGTTCTGGAAAACATCAACGGCTGCATCAGCACCGGGAAAAAGTCTGTGGTCTTCCACGCAAACGGTGGGAGGTAAGAGGACGGCAGATGGAGGAGGAGAAGGATTTCATCCTCAACGAAGTGAAACATTGTGTTGTGTGTGTGTGTGTGTCCTAGTTTGGAGGAGGAGCCTGTTCCCAACGAGGTGGTTCTGAAGGTTTTCAAAACCACACTCAATGACTTCAAGAATCGAGACCGCTACATCAAGGACGACTATCGCTTCATCGACCGCTTCAGCAAACTCAACCCACGCAAAATCATCAGGCTGTGGGCGGAGAAAGAGATGCACAACCTGTGCAGGTGACTGACCTGAGCAGCAAACACTGCACCGATGACGGGCTGATTACGTTGTTACTGTCAGGTTCTACAGAAACCACAGCTAGAAAATGAATGTTTTTGCACAAACAAATCCTCAGTGAAAATCGTCCAACGTGACGATGAAAACATTTAGTTTTTTTATTATTTTTATTGTGCTGGACTGTAATGTTGGTTTGGATTGTCCTCAGGATGAAGAAAGCAGAGATTCCCTGTCCACAGGCGGTGCTGCTGAAGAAACACATCCTGGTGATGTCATTCATCGGTGAGGACCACGTTCCTGCTCCAAAACTTAAAGACATCATGTTGAGCTCTGAGGACATGAAGGCGGCGTACTTCCAGGTTTTACACGTACGTAAAAGGAGGCGTGCCAGATGAAGAGCACTTTAAAAATCCTGAAAATATTAAAACATTAATGTCATGAATATTTGTCTGTGTACACGAGTACAGATGATGCAGCAGTTGTATCAGAAGTGTAAACTGGTGCACGCTGACCTCAGTGAATACAACATGCTGTGGCACCAAGGAAAGGTAACACATGTCCAGTCTGTGAAACCACAGAGTTTCTTCTGGGAAACACTCTGTATCACTTCTCTCTCATCTCCTTAATTCTCCCTGTGTGTGTCTCCTCGTTTTCCCTCTCAGGTTTGGTTGATCGACGTCAGTCAGTCTGTTGAACCGACCCACCCTCACGGTCTGGAGTTCCTCCTCAGGGACTGCAGGAACGTTGCTACGGTAACTCAGTGGTTACGCACATTACTGCAGTGTAGAGTTGTTGCCGTAGAACAGTGTAAATGTCTGGTACCTGACAGAGAGAGTTTGATTGACATGTGTTCATGTCACTTGTCTGCAGCTGATGAATTCACAGTGTTTTCTCTGTGTGTGTTTGTTCTTCAGTTCTTTCGAAAGAGGGGAGTGACGGAGGCCATGACTATGTACGAACTTTTTAACGCCGTCACTGGACTGAACCTCTCCATCTGTGATGAAGACGAGGCTCAGTTTGTAGCTCAGGTAACACACACACACCTAAACACCTGCTACATTTATTTAAATGTGTGTCAAGTTAACTTGCACCTAAACACCTGCTACATTTATTTAAGTGTGTGTCAAGTTGACTTGTCAGTTCAGAAATTACCAATTATCACCAATGTTATCATAAATGTTGACAAAATTCATGTGAATATATAATGTTAACAACAGCTAGCTAAAAGCCTGAAGTCCAACTGTTGTCGACTCTTTTGCTCCTCTCATAAAGATCGTAGCGTTGGAGAAGAATAACGAAGATCACGTGCAGCGACGTGGGAAGAAAACGTTCCCTATCTCTGAAGACGTCGACCCTCCTTTAAAACCCGATGTTGCTGATTAACGCTCGCCCCCGTGGCGCTCTCTCTCTCTGTCTTCACCGCCACCATGTTGAAAGATTTAAAAAAAAATCAAATCAGGAAGGGCCTGTCCCACATTACAGGAGCTCAGTACTGCCTCCTGGCTGCAGGGTCTATGGTTTGGCTGCAGTGGCAGTTCCAATGGCTGCACCTGATACCGTGAGCTTCCAGCAGAGGGCGCTCTCTTGTCTTCTGCTGCAGTGTGTGTTTTAAAGAGTTAAGATAAGGTTGTGTTTAACAATGACTTTCATCATCAAATGAGATGTTGAATCTTTTCTTCTTTTTTTTTTCATTTGATGGAGAAAATGTTGGAACGCCAAAACCTCATGATGATGATGATGTAAATGTGTTCTTCCACATAACCAAATGATTCCATTGATTCTAACAGGGCAGCTTGGGACAGTTTTAGAATCAGTTTGACTAATTTATAAGATCTAGTCAAACATTTTAAAATAACACATAACCGTTCTTTTTTTTTTAATCATAATTTGATATTAAACAGCATCTTAAAAGAAAATGAAGCGACAACAGGAAAAAAACAAGATTATCTCTGAGAGAGCTACATGCTTGAGCACAGCGTTGGTGTCGGGAGAGTCATGTGCACGGCCGTGTACATTTGAATCACCTTTGTGTGGAAATGAGATTAAAGCAATGGAAGCAGCATCAATACTGTCACCTCCTTGGATTTTTTTATTTCACTTTTTTTTAAGTAAGTTCATTAAAATTGGAAAAAATGTCATTGGAGCATCAGAAGAAGCAGGAGGTAAAATATATACATAGCTTTTGAACTGTAAACAGCTGCTAGTGACTAATAAATGATTATTTAATCAATGACTGGTTAGTCAAAATTACAATAAAACGCACTTTTTCCGATCAGTAAAGGAATGGCTTAGAATCAACAAAGTAGTGTTAATTGTTAGTTCTAAAATATAGGATTTTGTTGTTTTTTTTTTTTTTTTACAACACGATCAGATGTCAAAAAGCCGATTATGAAAAAGTGAGCCAACAGTTCGCATAACAAATAATCTGCTCTGTTCGTCTTGTTTTGGAAGCAGTGAAACAACTTTACCACTAGGTGGAGCCAGTGGACCTAATGACCATCACCACACCCAAGTGAATTATAACTTTGATGTTCGTTTTAGAGAATTTGTGAATGTAACTTTTGAATATTAATTACAGTTTCAGGAAGGACCAGGATCCTGATGTGACAATATTTAGAAAAAAAAGTCATTAATGAAGAGGACAACACGTGACTAAAGTGTAAGGTGTGTGTGTGTGTCACTCAGCTCACAGAATCATGGCGCTGACAGGGAAATCTGACATTTTATTTCTTATCTAGTGTTACTGGTGGCAGAGCGAGCTTCACGTGTCATCTCTCTCTCTCTCCTCCCCCTTACGCCCCTCTCTCTCTCTCTCTCTCTCTCTCTCACTCTGACTGTATCTGTCAGACTGATGAAAGTTATCCCAGTACTACTTTACTTGACTAATTTAATTGTCAGTTTTTACCAACACGAAAGCAAATTTTGTTAAAAAAACAAAACAATAATCGGGGATTTCACATCACGTCACGGGACGTCATTAATTTTGTTTAAATACTTTGTTCAATAAATCCTGGTTAATTATATTATGTCTCCTCTGGAGTAAAGCATTAAATGTTTAACTAAGGTGTTGACACGTTATCGACTAATGCTTCATTAAAATCTGTTTTTTCTGTCACTGACACCAAGCCATTTGCGTTTTAGGTTAGTGCTGCCAGCAGAGGGCGCTGAGGGTGAGTCAGTTCTTCATGCAACCAAACTTTTGCATCTATTTAATATCTTTAATGTTCCACTCTTTGGTGCTGTGGACACACAGGTCTTGCAGGTCTACTTTCCACCCTGTCTCTGCTCCACAGTTGTTTCTCCCGTGGATGAATTTCTCCTTTCTCTCCTCTCTGCTGTCTGTTCTCCTCCTGCTCCTCCTCATGCTCAGCAGCTGAATGTCTCCTCTGTCTCCAGCAGCTGCTGCTGCGACTCTGAAGCTGGACGTGTGTGAAGCAGAAGCTCCTTCTTCCAGCTGTTTGTGCAGAAGCAGCTGCAGAAGGAAACCACGCCACCGCGGCCATGAAGACACAGAACACTGGTACGCTGCCTCACTGTTACATCTACGGTGGCTGTGAGGGTTCAAAACTTCACTGAGCATGATGGGAACGTAGACATGTCAGACTTCAGTTTCCCATTTTTCTGTCTCAACTGGAAAGTTAATGATCACAAGAGTTTGACTGAAGAAGAGTTAAAGGTCGTTCTGTGTGGAAGAATGAGAGAGGGAGGGAGAGAGAGGGAGAGAGAGAGAGAGGGAGGGAGGGATAGGAGTGTGTGTGTGTGTTGTCCTGACAGCAACAGGTTGAGTCATTGTCATGACAACTGTATCTAATGTATCAGCATCAGAAAACTGGTCTGTCCAGATACCACACACACACACACACACACACACACATACATGCCTACACTCTAGTGTGAAAGCAGTCGGGCCATAGTTGCACCCCCTACAGGCTGTGCAGCACAGCACACTAGTGACTACTCTGTTCATGAAGAAACTCTGTGAAGAAACTCATCAAACTACACAGACAAAAATCAATTCATAAACACTTGATTCGCTGCTGCCTCATGTGGTTGATCGGTGTCACAGAGGGAAACCACAATGTTTCATTTCAAACACAGCAGAAGAATCACAGACCAAAGTCTATAGATAAAAAAACAGCATTTTTCTTACACCCTAAGACAACAGACAGTTGTTGTTGTTGTTGATCCAGTTACTTCCAGCAGAAACGTGTTATTTTGCGACTTCACTCTATGAAATTCTTTGTTTCAGATTTTCCATTGTGAACCCAAACTCACCACGACAGACCTGCAGCTACTGTGTAAACCTCACAGCTGTAATCATTGGTTTTTCCAATGGACTTTGGTGTTGGAGAAGGAGCACATTCACTGAACACAGCTGAACTTCCCACACCAAAGTTCACGAAGAAACTCACAGAGTCGTCTGTTTATATGTATACGTTTGTTTGTTTTTACACTAACCTCGGTGACACATGGTGACCACACGAGGCAGTAGAGCACCAGCAGCTTCTGTGTCCCCATAACAAGAAGTTGTTGATTCTGTTGATGGACACTGGTACGAGAGAGCAAGTGGCTAACGTCTAAATATTCACATAGAGCCTTTCTTTATGACTGTTCAGGCAGCAGGGGTCGCTCTTTTCTTAACACTCACTGCAGTATGGTTGTATGTACTTGATACCAGCCAAGGTCCAACAGTCTGTGGTTGAAAGGATGTAAAAACTGCAGTTTTTCTGTCAGTATTTGTTTGTCAGGGAGAGAGAAACTTCAGCAGCAGTAGCAGGAGTTCAGGCCTCAGGCTGAAGCAAACAACTGTTACCTACAAATCATCCTTCACTCCTCAAAACCGGTTCTTCTCCTCCTCCTCCTCCTTTTGCTTCCCTCTCTGTTTTCTCTCCTCCCCCTCCCGCTCCCCCTGTCTCTCCCCCTCCTCCACCGGCAGCACCATCCTCCTCTTCTTCCTCCTGTTGCTGCTGCTGCTGCTGCCGAGGCTCAGACTTCACATCTACATGTGCTGAGACGCAAATTCCAGACCAATTTAATCTGTGTTCTTTACCAACCAGCAGGGGCGCTGTCCTTCAAACACCGTGTCCTGAAAAGTTAGTTCACTCTCTAAACACATGTTAAAGATTTGACAAATACCCTCAAGTGTTTTATTTCAACTTTGTTTAATGTCTTTTAAAAGTCTGCCACATTATAAGGACATGTTTTTCTCTTCTTCTCTTTTTTTTTTTACAAAGAAACTTCTCTCTTCCTCTACAGGTGGCGCTACAGATGCAGTTGTAAAACCCTGCTTAAAGCCACCAGTGAGCTAAGCACAACTTTGTTGTTTTATATAAATGTTATCTTCTAACACCTGAAAATCTTCTCACAGGAACGTGTCACACATTTATATTTGGAGATGAATACTGCAGTAAATCTATGGACATAAAACTGCAGTATTCTGGATACAAAGTACTGCACAACAGACTTGTTTCAGCCAGCGGTTAACTACTGACGGACCAGTGGGCTAACAACAGCGGAGGACGCTGCTGCTGGACGGTGCTGTACACCTTCAACATTGGAGCTGAACTGAACTGCAGGTAAATTGTATTTTCTAACATTACTGTAGTAGACTTTACTGTAGTACACTGTAGTGTTTATTACTCATCTCCATTGGTTCAGACGAGTTAAATCACTACGTACAATATTGAGTCAGAGTAAACACTAACGTTGTCACCAAGTTGAAGGGAAAACTGCAAAGTTACTAAAACCTTGAAACTCTTTTTTTCTTCTTCCTCTTCAAAGCTTAAAGGATATTTGAAAATAGCCTGATTTTTCATTAAGATTTTTAGATTTTTTTTAACTTCCTCTCTCATGTTGGGTGTGATATTTAGCTAACGTGGCTAACTTCACTGACCCTGGCTTCTTCTTCTTCTTCTTCTTCTTCTTCTTCTTCTTCTTCTTCTTCTTTGGTCTTTAGCATCAACTTTCTTCTTCTTCTTCTTCTTCTTCGGTCTTTAGCATCAACTTTTTTATTATTTGAGTTGCAGTTTTGTGAAACCACCACAGGCTCTCCAGCAGAAAGAGCATATTTTGACAGATCTCTTGTTATGTAGAGGGGGAGAAAAATGGTTCCAACTCTGTGGTGAGTTGTTCAGGATGTAGCAGCAGCAGCAGCAGCAGCAGCAGCAGCATGTGCTCATCACCCCTCACTCTGTGGACAGGTGCTGGAATCATGTGACCGTCCGTCCGTCCGTCTGTCTGTCAGTTGGTCGGTCGGTCTTTCGGTCAGGCCACCGCTCCACTGAGGAGCAGTAGCAGCAGGAGGAGAAGCAGAGGGGGAGGAGGTGGGAGGAGTCAGGGCAGTGTGTTAAGTTTCAGCAGTAACTCCATTGTGCTGGGTGTTGGTTAAAGATGAAGTCTCTCTCCACACGGATGGTGGAAACTTTACATGGTCCCACATCAGGGAGAAACTCTGCTGCTGCTCCTGCTGCTGCGCTCCCTCCTGTCTCTCCTGCTCCCTCCTTCTTCTCTCCTCAGGATGAATGGATGAATCCCTCCTTTTGTTAGTGATGGTTTGTTCCTCAGCAACAGCTCCATGGTTACGCTCCAATAAATAACATCACTCTCCTTTTCTTCCTTCCTTTCTCTCCCTCCTTTTTTCCAGTTTATCGTAGTCTTTATTTTTGTAACGAAAAGGCCAATAAAGTTACACTGTGGCTGTTCAGTTCATTTAGGATGGGGTTTATTTTGCAACTTCATTTGGATTAAAGTTAAGGTGGAATTACTGTCTGTCTCTTATGCTTTAATTGATATTAATTTCCACGCAGAGTCCCAGTTGTGTTTTTTTTAAATAAGACTAAATTATTTTGTCGCTCCTTTTTATAAATATTTCCAGGTGCTATTTTATTTGACTTAATTAGACATTATTCTATATTAACTTTTAATACTTTTTTTAACGTGATTTTTAAAAAATGTTTTTGATTAATTTTTTAGAATAAAATGGGATTTTATTTTCAAGGTGGGTGTTTTGACACTGCTTACGGCGATTTAAAAAAAAAAAAGTTAAATAATTTGCAACTTTATTAGCAATAATAAATATGTACAAACTCTAGGGTGCAGATTCAACTCTGCCAAATTTTAACATTATGTGAGGTCATCTTCTATGATCGTGATTAGTCCAACACTGAGGGAAAAAAACTGACAGCAGAAAGTTACTTTGTTACTTCTGTGAAATAACCTCCGTTTTTTTTTTTGTTTTTTTCAAACATTGCTCTCTCACTCGTGAGCAGGAAACAGGCAGGTCCTCCCATCAGCCCCTGCTCCTCCTCCTCCTTCATCAGCAACAGGCAGAACCAGCCCCAGTCTGACTGAGTAGGAGGAGGAGGAGGAGAGATGCCTCTCTCTCTCCAGCAGAGGATGATGGGGGAAGGGGGGGGGGGCGCGGGCGGGGGGGGGGGGGGTTTGGGGGTGTCGCGGG